CCCCATGTTAATTGTGGTAGTGCTGGCATATCTTTGCTGATGGTGTCACCAGTGATGCAATTTTTCCTAAGGAGCCGTCAATTGGCTTGGTGTTGTGGCATTTCTGTATTCTCCTCCCTTCTGCTAGTGATGGTCTAAAATTTGGGGGCCAATGGCTGTATGCTGGACCGGTGGTCAGTGACGGGTATGATCCAATTGCAGTGGTATCAACCTAAGACAGGAGGCTGACGCCTAAAGGTCAGTTTTCTGATGACGGGTAAGAACCATATGTTGAATTGGACAACCTACCAGGCACGGTCCTTAAGCCACATTGCTTGTTGTTTAATTAATCAGAAGGGGGGAGATGCTGGGAGCCATTAGCCAAGTAGGTATGACAATTTCCTTGCCAGCGTACCCCATGTTGCAGTGACATTGAATGTAGGTGACCTTGCTCAAGGACCAAGGCGGGTTAGGGCGTTCCCGGTTTAGGTTCCAGGTTTAAGGTTTAAGATTATTCCTGCTGGGAATAGGGCGTATCCTGCTGCCTGAGTTCCCCTTGAGTTCTCATGGGATTTAGACAGTATATTTTGGAGATAGAAGCCCAGTGGATTTGGATTTGGGCAGAGAACGTGGATTTCCCCAGAACGTGATTGTAGACGGCTGGTGTGAGTTCGGGAATAAAGAGTTGCTGTTTGAATCTACAAGCTGTGTGGTGGCTCGTGATTGTGTGCCCAGCCAGACTGCGGCATTTGTGCCCGGCCAGACTGCGGCAGATAAATACAGATCTCCCTTTCCTTTTGTCTGGAGGATCAAATGCAGAAGATATTTAGAAATCAAAACAAAGGAAAAAGAATCAAAGTTGTTCCTTTATAATGCTACTCATTCCCAAAACAGATGAAAGTGTCTCAAGAAAAACAGTTCTACTTCATAATATGAAGGAGTATGAAGAACAGTGAACCTGAAGAGGAGAAATAATACAAACAGATTTGTAATTTGAAAAAGAAGTTTTAAGAAAAGACTATGCAAAATTCTTAAGACCATAGAGTAAATTTTAAAATCCTGATTAAATGATTTTCCACAAAAATACAAATGACCAAAACTGAATTAAAAAAAAAAAAAAGGAAGCCTGGATAAACAAGCAGTGCTGAGATCTAGTGTACACCAGCATGGCATTCCAGTTGGCATCACTTAGACCTGATAAGGCTTCTGTCCCAACTGGTCATGTCCCTGGAATAACAGTTTGTACATTCTTGACAATCATCCTGCCAATATTTATAGAAGCAATAAAATAATAGAAAATTACCCCCACAAACAGGCCCCTCATCTACATACATGGTTTCATTAAACAGTTCTCTGAAACTTTCAAAGAACAAGGAATCTCATCTTATCCTAAACCAAGCAAAACCCTCATGTGGTAACCAGAGGAAGATGGCACGAAGAACAAAATCATAAACCAATCCTACTAATGATCACAGATGCAAAAACCCAGGACAATTCATCTTGTTATCAAACCCAAGTAGGTATGTAGATATGTGATTTTCTCCAGCAGCAGATTAGGTAGAGGCCTAGAGAGGGTAACCAGCAAGGCGTCTTGATAAAAGGCTGGGACAGAACAACTAGGCAAGAAAAGTGGCTGAAGAGATTAAATAAGAAAGAAGTGAAGAAACGAGGGGGATGAGCAACAGTGGGAAGGGCTAATGAAGATAATAGTGAGCTAGGCATGGTGCACATGCCTGTAATCCCAGCAACTTGAAAGGTTGAGACAAGAGGATTCTGAGTTCAAGGCCAGACTCAGCAACTTAGGGACATCTTGTCTCAACATAAAAAATAAGAAGGGCTGGTGATGTAGCTCAGTGGTAAAGCACTGCTAGGTTCAATCCCCAGTACATATATACACACATACACACACACACACACACACACACACACTAGTGAATATTGCTGTAAACTAGGAGTGATATAACGACACACTAAGACGCCATTAAACTGTGGGCCACCCAGTAGCACTAGAGGCTCCAGGTGGAGTAGAAGAAGTGAGCAACGAAGGAGACCAAGGATGCAGGGGAGCTGATTTCCCAAAAAGAATGCTCCAGATGCTTCAGAATGAGGTCAAGGGAAGCTTGGGCTGGTAAACTGGATCAATATGAAGACGCTGACAGCAGGAGACAGATGACTAGAGGGCTAATATCTTGGGCAAGGGCCAAGGATACATTCAGCCACTACATGTTATTAATTATTCAACCTCAGTATTACCCAAAGAAATGTAAATGAGAACAAAGCAATACCATTTTGTACATATCAACTGGCAAAGATAACTGAGAAAGAAAATAGTGTTGGAGAGAATAAAAGGATGTCTGCACAGAAATTAACTCCAAGACCTTTGATCCCAAAGGTGAATAAGATACAACATAAAGTGCCCATAAACCAGGGTTTGTTTGAGTGAACTTGGCCTTACCGTGGAACAGGCTCCACTCTTAAAAATTAATATGTAGAAATAGGTTTATTGATGTTAAAAGAGTCACTGCTGCATCATAAAAGCAGTTTCTAAAAATGTGGTTTTAATATATACATATTTGCACAAGTATTGGATTATGAATAATTATTGTCTTTACTTCCTTATATGCATCTTCTATTTTCTTTCTTCTACAACGAACTTCTAAAACATGACATCCAAAACGACCACATCATGTCATTCGTGTTTAAATTCATCAAATAATCCCAAGGCCTTTGGGTTTGGTCCAAGTTTCCCAGCACTCAAAAACCCTCTGTAAAGAGTCCTGACCTCTCTCCTTATTCTCCCACCCATATTTCACTCAGAAAGGTCCAGAGGACCCAGGTTTTTATATTTCTCAGTTGCCTCTACCCAGCGCGTCCCTGCCAACCGCACCTGGGGCCAGCAGCAATGCTCCCTGCCTAAGCTAGGAGTCCCAGAGCCCACACCCCTTCCCCCCACTGCCCCGTGGGCCTGCCCGGAGCAGCCTCAGCAGGGCCGCCGGGTAGAGGACCAGGTTCCGCTAGGCGGAGGGCGCGCACCGGGACTCCAGAGTCCGGGGTCCATCATGTAAGCGCTCCACGAGCTTGGGTACGGGGACAGACAGGGAGCTCCGGGCCGCAAGCTGAGGCCGGGCTGCAGTGTCCATGCTACATTAAGAGCCTCTAGGCTCTGAGCATGGGTGCCCGAGGCTATCTCCAAGACCGGACGGGGTTGGGGCTCCAGGCGGGACCCTCTCCGACCTCACCTTGGCGCTGCTCACAAAACGGACTTCCACGGCGCTCCGGGCCTGGCCCGCCACGCCCACGCAGAAAGAGAACACGTCGCACATGGAGGCCGCCATCTTGGGCGCGCCTCCGCATTCTGACCCTTGACCCCGCCTCGACCCGTGAGGCCCCGCCCCCTGCAGCCCCTCCCGGGGCGTGAGTGCCTGAGAGGCGACGAGATTCGGCTAGTCAGAATTTTGGTCCTCGGGTTGTTTGAGTGGGTGTAGAAGGGTCTGCTTTTGTGCTTTTCCATCTGCACAGTTCTGTGCCTGTGTCTTCATAGCCGGCATCAGCGTCCTGTGTGCTTCCGTAGTTTTGATATGTACCTAAGTCCAGGTTCATGTTTATGTGTCCACACAGTGACTTGTTTTGTGAAAATCGCTCTTTGGACCAGGCTTGGACACAAGGGGGCCGGGCGGGGGCCGCAGAAGTCCGACATTCCTATTCTCATCCTGAAGGGAAAGACTAGTTCTGAAAAACCAAGCTGGACGAGCGCCTCTCGCCTTCTCCAGGGGTGTAAGAACCATGCCAGGCTGGGTTGGTAGAGCAGTCTACAGTGGACCTAGGGGCCCCTTAAATTGGATGCAAAAGTGAATGTGCGCATACGTTGTTCTGAGTCCGCAAGAGGGGCACGTTGTCTCGTTCAGGACCCAGAAACCGCCAACCTCTGACCTATAACACCTGTCCCTACAACTAGACCTGGTGACCACCGTGCCTTATTTTGTTTCCTGGTCCTACAATTGATTGAACTCCTTAAAAAGGGACCTGTGTCTACACCTGCTTTGGCCTTATGGTGACTTTTGGGAATTGTGTAGAGCCCCTTGAATGTTGAATAGGTAAATGCTCTATTGTTTGTTTGTTTGTTTGTTTTAATTTTTAAAGTGAGCCATTTGTTCATGAAAGAGGAAACTGCAGCTGGACTCCTTGGACCAAAACCCAAATTAATGGTATTTTAAACCATGGAACCATATCCTTGCCTATAATTGGGGTCAATGAGCCATTGATTAATAGAATTGACTTTGGGTTCAGCATAAGGATTTTCCTGAAGACAGGGATAGAGAAGGATTCTTGAAGCTAGATCCAGGCTCCTCTCAAGTCTGCCACTTTGTGTCCAGGAGTCCACTGCTTTAGGTACAGATTGTTTTCCAAGGCCGCCCCAGCTCCCTTCCTTTCTTCCCTTCATTCAGAAAACTGAGAGCAGCTAGAGCCTGGCTTCTCACCACCAGGTGGCAGTGCCGGCCTCCTTCCACACTCTCCCTCAATCCCAGGACTGGCTCTAGAACTAATGATCTGTGCTACAGAAATCAGCTCTGAAGATGCTGGTGGCTGTCTTCAAGGGAATAAACTCTCAGCTAGCTTCCTAGAGGAAAACAGAGCAGATTCCTGGGAAGGAAAGGGAGCCATGAGTCAGCAGCATGAAGGGGAAACACAAACTATCCTATGAAAACAGGCAAGTTTATGATAAAGTGGAGTCAAATTTCTGTATTCCACATAAAGATGGTGGGGGGATGGATGAAGCAGGGAGTTGGCAGTGAGGGTAGCATGTTGCTCCAAGAGAGGCAGCCGAGAGATGGTAATTGTTCAGACAAAATAGGAAAACTTTGGGAAACTGAGAAATAAGCCAAGTAGTCTACCTTTTGATCCTCCTTGCTCTTAATTCTACCATCTCTGGTGGAGAAATCCAGAACTGATTCAGTGAGGTCCCCTTTCTAAAGTCAGGCCAGAAAAAAACTGATTAATCCCTGGGCATCCTGGGCTGCTGCAGCTATCACTCTCCCCCTCCCCTGCCACTTACACCCTATCCCCACTGGGAGAGCCTATAAGCCTTAACAATTACCACACACTTTCCACTGGTCCTGGCACATTGTAAGTGCTTTACAGACATCACCTCACCCCTTTATAATCACTTATACAGATCAAGAATAAAGGCTCAGGAGTTTAGTAATTGGCCAAGTTTATAGCTTATGGCCAAAGTGTGTGCCTCTGACCACTACATTATTATGGCTCTCAGGGGTTGTTATAGAAAAGGGGACTCCTGCATGACAGTTCAAATTCCTCTGTTGCTCCCTGGCCCTGAGGAGGCTCTTCATTGAGATGTGGGCAGGAAGGTCCATTGATTTCCCCTAGAACTAGACCAAATAGCACAGGTAGGGTGTCTGTCCTCAGCTGTCCACTCCTGACTCCACATCTTCACTCTGGATGCTGCTGTCAGAACTGCTGGAGGGCTCGTCCAGGGAGGTGGCCATAGCAGACATGGCTGGCAGTTTCAGCTTTTGCTGCTTCTGATACTTGACCCTGCGGTTCTGGAACCAGATCCTCACCTATCATTGGGATCAATGAGCTGACATCAGAATGTGACCAGCAGGTCCCTTTCCTCCCCCAGTCCCAGAGTACCCAACCCTTGGTGTCTGGCCAAAATTTGTTCCTCCTGCTAAGGGAAGCATCTCCTCCAAAATGCCCTTTACTATAATCCCACTTACAATTCATCCACCTAAACCAGCTCCTAGACACCATCCTAGGTAGTGGTGATATAGTGGTGAGCAATAGAGGCATGGTCCCTGCCCTTTTGGAGCGCACAGTAATAAATGTAACAAACCAAAATATATAAATGCAAATGGGGGTAGAAACAGGGGTTTGGGTTGGGGAAGTTTTCCTGAGGACCCAACACTAAGGGTTAGAGAATGAGTGGTCAACCTGGTGGGGATAGAGAGGAATAGGCCAGACTGTAGGAAGGATCTGAGTTGGCACCAAACTTGAGTGTTTGAGAACCAGAAAGAAGGAGAATGTGGCTGTTAATAAGAGGGGAAAGAAAAGGGAGAGGAAGTGGGAGAAGTTGGCGGGGGCCATAAAAACCAGGACCTAGGTGGGCCATGGGGAAGGAGTGTCACCTTTGAGGCTTTTAATTGGGACATAACATAGTTCTGTTTACAGTCTTGAGTGAATTGCACATGGTTGAGCTGCTGTGTGAAGAACAGATGGAGGCAGAAGCAGGGAGACAGTTTGGAAGCTAGTGCTTCGATCTGATGAGAACCGGGATATAAACTAGGGACAATGAAGCAATTCCATCTGCATTTTGGAGGTAGAGGTGACAAGGTTTGCTGATGGTTGGAAATGGAGAAGGAGGAATCTAGAATGAATTAGTGTTTTGAGCAACTGGATGAATGGTGAGACCTGGATGAATGGGAAATGGAATAGATTTGAAGGGGGAATCAGAAATTGAGGTTCAGTGTTGTGAAGTTTGAATTGCCTACCCTTAAAACACCTAAGTGGAGGGATGGGAGGGAAAGGGACGGGGCAGGGGGTTAGCAATGATGGTGGAATGTGATGGACATCATTATCCAAAGTACATGTATGAAGACATGAATTGGTGTGAACATACTTTATATACAAACAGAGATATGAAAAATTGTGTTCTATATGTGTAATAAGAATTGTGATGCACTCCACTGTCATGTATCTAAAAAATAAAAGCAATTTAAAAAAAAACACCTAAGTGGGAATGTTAACAAGGTGTAATACTAGTCAGAAGAGAAGACTGGGCAGAGGATAGAAATTTTGAGAGTCATTTGCTTATAAATAGTATTTAAAACTGGGAATAATTGCCGGGCATGGCAAATATTATATTATCACCTATAATACCAGCAGCTGAGGAGGCCAAGACAGGAAGATTGCGAGTACAAGGCTAGCCTCAGCAAAAAGCAAGGTACTGAGCAACTCAGCAAGGCACTGTCTCGAAAGAAAATACAAAATAGGGCTGGGGATGTGGCTCAGCGGTTGAGTGGCCCTGAGTTCAATCCCTGATACCCAAACAAACAAACAAAAAAAAAACCTATGGGAATAGATGAGAATAGAGCCCAGCTACCAGCAGGGCTCTCTTTTTCCCCACAGCTGAGAGAGATTTTTGAGGTCCCAAAGGGAAGAGCAGCCTGAAAAGGAGATAGAAATGGCCAGAGAGCAGGAAGAAGAATCAAGTGTGTGGTGTCTGGAAGTTAAGAGAAGAATGTGTTAGCTGGATACCATGATGCACGCCTATAATCCCAGTAGCTCTGGAGGCTGAGGCAGGAGGATTGAGAGTTCAAAGCCAGCCTCAGCAACTTAGGCCCTAAGCAAGTCAGTGAGACCCTGTCTCTAAATATAAAATAGGGCTGGGGATGTGGCTCAGTGGTTAAGCAACCCTGAATTCAAACCCTGGTGAGAGAGAGAGAGAATATGAATGTGTTTCAGTAAAGGAAGGAGTGGCCACTGTACTGAGAGCTGCTGAGTGGTGGCTTTGGCAACATGAAGGTCATTGAGAACTTGCTGAGAAGTTTTAATGGAATGGGAAGGAAAGTATTCATACTGGAATGAGTCAGAGCAAATGGGAAGTGAGGACATGGAGACAGTGAATGTAGCAAGTTCATGAGAAGTTTGCTTGTGAAAGGAGCAGAGAAATGACACAATAGCTGGGGGGAAATATGGGAGTCAAGGTAATCTTTTTTATTATTTTTTAATATTTAGTCTCTTGAAAATGCCTACTAGGGGCTGGGGATATGGCTCAAGTAGTAGCACGCTCACCTGGCATGAGTGAGGCACTGGGTTCAATCCTCAGCATCACATAAAAATAAAAATAAAGATATTGTATCCACCTAAAGCTAAAAAATAAATATTAAAAAAAGAAGATGCCTACTTAATTTTTCTGATAGTACTTTAGCATAGAACACTTTATCAAAGTTTTAGATTAACTTTGTATGTTATTCCCACAACTATTTTTCTCATTACATAGGGAGTGTGTAAAAAACTAGGGCCTGTCTCCCAACAGCTTGGCCCAAAGATGGTCCATGTCTTCCTCCCACTCCCGACTTAGGGTCTTCCAGAGTTGGTATCTGACCCCAGATGCAACCCAGGCCCCATAGGACTCCCTGCTCCCACCTGATTCTCTGTAAGGTGGAGCCGGGCTGCCAGCTGGGCTCTCTTCTTCCCCACCAGATTGTGCTGTTTTGCAAACACTTTCTCCAACTCTTCCAGCTGCTCCAAGTTAAACATAGTTCGAACCCTCTTTTGATGTCTCTCAGTGTCCTGAAGGTCCTCGCTAGGGGTCCAGTGCGGGGAGCCCCAGAGGCCTGGGCAGTGAGCCAGTTCCAAGCCTAAAGAGCAACCATCAGCAGAGGAGAGTCAGCCAGCAGCTACCTGCCAACCCATCTTGGAGGGGAGAGAACAAACATGTGGTTCACTTCCTGCCTCCCCCTTGGCCAGGTAACAGGGCAAGAAGACGGAGTGGGAAGAAATTATGTGGAAACAACCCAAAACAGATAAAAAAGAAAGAACAGTGAAATGTGACTCCTTTTTCTTCTTCCTCTCAGCCAAGTGGCTTAACTTCTGGCCCCTAATAGGAGTTGCCAAACTCCTTCCTCCTCATCTTGCTTTCTTTCCTTGACTGCTTGGAAAACTCCAAGGGATGGGCAGAGATGGGATCTCCAAAATATCACCCTTTTCATTCATTCAACAAATACCTTTTGAATAGCTGCTATATGTTAAACACAGGAAATGCTGTAGTCATGGAACTCACATCTTAGAAGTGGGTAAGCAGTAAATAAGTAAAACATTTAATATGTCAGATAGCAGTAAGTGCTAAGGAGTGGGTAAGTGGAGAAGCAGGGACAGGGTGTATATGCATGGGAGAGGGTAGTTTACATCTTTAACATTTGAACAGGTCCACTATGTATAGCTTTTGCACATAGGTACCCAGCTGAGAGGGTAAGTGGGTGTGAAAATCTGCCCACTCTCTGCAGGCCAACTCTTGCCCCTAACAAGGGGCTATGTCTACCTGGAGGAAGTGATGCCCTTTTCTAAGGGACACAAAAGTTTAATTCAGCTCACCAACTTGTGGTCCAGTGGAGGTACATCTACCAGGGAGCAGTACCTGACTCCGTGTGAGAGGATGAAGGAGTGAGCTGTTGACTTATCCCAGAGGAGAATATTCTGGGCAGAGAAATGCCAAATGTAGTGCTAAGGCCACTCAGCTTCCACTAGTCTTGGAGAGGCCTCATGGCTAACAGACAGACTGCTCCAGTGTAGGGATTGGGGCTGGTATCTCAGCTGCCCAGGATTCCAACCACTGGGCTTACCCAATTTACCATGTGCCTGCATGAGGTGAGACCAGGCAAAGCCCAACAGGTATGCAGCCTGGTGTATCTAGTCTCTCCTGCCTTGTTTCAAAATCTGAAGTAGTAGAACCCTTCAAGAGGAAATTAGGCTGCATGTGATCCTTAAGAGTTTTACTTGGAATCTTAGCTCTGCCATTAGTTACCAGCTATAGGGCCTCAGGCAAGTCAATATACCTCTGTGGGCTTGATTTCCTCATATATAAAATGGTGATAATAATCCATACTTACAGATGTCACAAGGTGCTTAGTGCTATGTCAGGTACAGAGCAAAAGGAAAGTCAATGATGATTTTAAAAACCTATAACAACACAATAGACAATGCAGTGGGGGAAGGGGTGGATTATTTCCAGATATGGGAAGAAATAAGCCAGTACCATATCTCATAGCTTGCACCAAGGAAATTTCCAAATGAAACAAATATTTAAATGTAAAAAAGTATACCCCTGCCAGGTATAGTGACTTAGAAGGCTGAAACAGGAGGATCCCAAGCTAGGAGTCAGCCTGGGAAAGTTAGCAAGACCCTGTCTCAAATTAATTAAATATATATATATATATATATATATATATATATATATATATATTTTTTTTTTTTTTTTTTAAAGGGCTGGGAATATAGCTCAGGGGTAAAGTGATAGTGGGGCATGGTGGCACATGCCTGCAATCCCAGCTATTTCCTGCCTCTAGCTGAAGCAGGAAGACCACAAATTCAAGTCCATCCTGGGCACCTTACTGAGATTCTGTCTCAAAATAAAATAAAAAAGGACTGACGGCAGAGCACCCCTGGATTTAATCTCCAATATTGCAGTCAGACATGGTGGCACACAGCTATGATCCCAGTGACTCAGGAAGCTAGTCTCAGCGATTTAGCAAGGTCCTAAGCAAATTAGTGAGACTCTGTCCCAAAAAATAAAAAGGTCTGGGAATATGGCTCAGTGGTTAAGTGCCTTTGGGTTAAATCCCCAGTAAAAAACAAAGCAAAACAAAATCAGTATTGCAAAAAAAAAAAAGTGAAAAAATTAATACATTCAAACACATAAAAATGAAAATTTTTTATGTGACAAAAACAAAAACCATAATCAAAGTGAAAAGACAATAATCTGAGAGAATATTTACATCTTATTACAAAGGGCTAATTTTCCTAATATAAAAGGAACTAGCTGGGCATGGTGGTGCACATCTGTAATCCCAGCAACTTTGGAGGCTGAGGCGGGACAATAGGAAGATTGAGGCCAGCCTCAGAAACTTAGACCCAAAATAAATAAAATAATAATAATAAAGGTCTGAAGATGTTACTTGGTCATAGAGCACCCCTGGGTTCAATCCTCACTACCGGGAGCCAGGGCAGCTCCAAATAGATTGTTATAAATGTCCAGTTAGAAAAACGGGCTAAGTACACAGAAAAGGAAATAAAGATGGCTATTAGACATTAAAAAAAAAAAAAAAAAAGAGCTTAATCTAAAAGCAACCCAGTAGTTTGATGTCCTAAAACAAAAGCTGCTAAAAGTCATGGGGAGACCAACTGAGGAGTACAACTAAGTGATTGGTTGGAACAAATTCATCCAGGGAGTTTTATCTTTTCAAGTATCATATTCACTCTGGGAAACCTTGTTTTCCCATGTTTTAGAGCATGCTTGGTTTTGTTTAAAACTGGTTAAAATAAGTGTTATTTCCAGGTGAAAAAAATGACTTTTTTGGTTTGATTTGAGGGTAAAAAGGGGAGCAAAAACTTTGCTCTTTTAATTTGATAATTATGTTTAACCGATGATGAAGTATTTGATTATTACAATAAGTAATTAGCAATAAGTGGTTAAGTGCCTTTGGGTTCAATACCCAGTAAAAAATCAAATTAATTCTAAACATCAGTACAATACTCTTAGTTATGGTAAAGTTGTCTTAAGATGAATGGCTCATATTTTGGTGCAGTGTTTGGTGTTAAAAACAAAATGTTGCAACAATAAACAAACTGAGAAAAAATGCTCAATCCCACTTATATTTGAGAAATGCACACCGAATCATTTTTTTCCTTCTATTGCATTGGCTCTATTTCAAAAGTTGAATAACACCCTGCATTGGTGAGGTTGTGGAGAAAAGGGGCACTCTTATACTTAGCTGGTGGGAGTGAAAAGGGGATACAAGATCTGTGGAGGACAATCTGACAAAACTACAAAAAGCATCTACCCTTTAAGCCAATGATTCCAGCTATTCTTGAATATCTTATGTGCAGATTATCCATCACAGCACTATGTATAATAGCAAATGAAAAATCAATTGGGCTAGATCAGTTATCTTACATTCTTACAGTGAACTACTCTGTGGTTGTAAAAGAAGCTCTTTATGGACAGGAAATGCCTCTCCAAGATATATGATCAAGTTAAAAGAATAAGTGCAGAGCAGTGTGTATGGTATGCATAGGGAAAAGGGGGAAAGAATAGTTGTATGCACTAAGATATTTTAATATGCACAACTACACCCAGAATTAAGTGGTTAGGGGACAAGAAGGGAAAGAGGAAACTTTCTCCATAGATCTTGATATACATTTTGAAGTTTGGATGTGTGAATATAATATCCATGGGAAAACCAACTTGAAAATTAGACAATTGGAACATAAATTAGCAAACTGCAATTCATCCCTCAGGTGTGTGGAGAGCTAGTGAAAGGGACTTGGAGGGATGGACAAGCTCTCAAAGAGTGTGAATCTGGATCGGCTTGGGAGTCCAGGTGTTAATGCGCTGATGAAAGGGGTTGAGGACATGCAAGGCGAGGGGGTCCCAGGAGTAGGAACCAGGTAAGACTGTGTTATGATGATCTTGTTATGGGTTAATGAGGCTTGACTACTTTGCTCCTGTTTTCTTCATGGGGACATGGGGAAGCATGAAGCAGGTGTCCCAAGCGGCAAAAGGTTAATGCTACAGGAGAAGTGTTACCTCAACAGTTAAATTCCCACTGGCATTATGTGCCTGTGCAGCAGATCTGCTCAGGTACTATTTTAAGACCGCTGTAAGCAGGCAGGCTCAGAGAGGTTAAGCGTGGAGTCCAGGTTCCTATAGATGTGAGCAGCAAGGGACAGGGGTAGAATCTCGGCCTTTGCCAGCTAACAGGTCCCGCATCACGCATCACGCATGCATCCCCTTCTCAAAGACCAGAGCTGTGGATTTGGGACCATGCAGCTTTAGGGAAGTGTCTGTGCCAAAGCGGGTGTGGGGCAGAGTCCGGAAGGAGGAGACTGGGAGGAGGGTTGGGTCTCCTTGCATCCCCAGCACTGGGTTACCGACCCAGTCTGTCGAACACCAGCACCTCCCGCTCCCACCTCAGCGACCCGCGGGGAAACCTCGCGTCTCAAACTCAGGTACTTGTCTATTCCAGTGTGAGGCCTCCACTCTCCATCCCCTGACCAATTACCCCGCACGGGCGCTCTGTCCCGCCGTACCTGTGACGCCGAGGCCCTGGAAGCCGCAGAAGTGAGCCATGCGCAGCCTAGGCACAGCCGGCTGTGGGCACAGCGGGTAGACACCCACTCTCAGGTAGGCGGGCAGCCAAGTTGCTGGGCACGCCCAGGGCAGAACTGGGGCAGGAGACTGAGAGGGAGCGGTCCAGAGGCCCAGGGCCGCACAGGAAGAGACTGGCGGAGGGGAGGTCACCGGCGCGCGGGAGTCGGGCTTAGCCAGGATGGCTTCTACAGAGAAAGAGGACTCTAGGCGACCGGTGGACTGGGGCGTGCCTGGGCCCGCCATGCAGCCAGAGAGCGCGGGTGACGCGGGAACCGGAGAGCTGCTGTCACGCAGGGGCTGGACCTGAGTGCCCAGGCCAGTCGGCAGCGGGCGGCCTAGCTGCCCCGGGCTGGGCAGGGCTTGACCCTAATCGGGATGGGAGCGGAAGGGTAGCAGGGGCCTCTGGGGCTGTGTGGGAGCGCGAAAGGCGAGTAAGAAGACCCTACACGAGGGGACGAGCAAGACTTGCCCTGGAACTAGAGCCTCAGCTGCTGGCGAGAGCTCTTAAACTTCGCGGGGCGGGACAGGGCGGGGCGGGGCCCCCAACCTCCAACCCTCGCGGCACGGGCGGGGTCTTCTAAATCCGTCGCTGCACCCTACTCCGGGGGAAGCAAGGTGGGCACAGCGCTAAGGATTCTGCTCTCTCCCTCCCATCGCATTTGAAAGCGCCCAGCCGCCGGCAGGGTTGCGCACGTCTATAATCCCAGAGGCTCGGGAAGCAGAAGCAGGATGATTGCAGGTTCCAGGTCAACCTGGGCAATTTAGCAAAAATCTGTCTCAAAATAAAAATAAATAAATAGATCTGGGGATGTGGCTCGGAGGTAGAGCGCCCCTGGGTGCAATCCCCTCTGCCAAAAATAAAAATAATAATAATAAAAACTAAAAGTGCCCACTCCTGTGCTGTTGGGGGAAAGACCTTGAGCTCACTATTATTATTTGTTTATTTATTTACTTATTTATTTATTTATTGGTACTGGGGTTGAACCCAAGGGCGCTGAGCCACACCCCAAGCCCCCTTTAAAAATATATTTTTATTTAGAAACAGAGTTTTTCCTTAGGGCCTTGCTAAGTTGCTAAGTTGCTGAGGCTGGCTTTGAACTTGCAATTCTCCTGCCCCAGCCTCCCTAGCCGCTGGGGTTTATAGCCTAGCGACACCAGGCCCATCTTTCTAGGAATTTTCTGTGCCTGCACACATAGGTCCTCACAGGAAAGAACTTTCCTATGTCCAAAAAGATGTGGAATGGGGGGGCGGAAACACGGAAAATTTATGTACAGAATTCAGAGTATTGTAATGAATTTGAATAAGAAATCTAATTCATTGCCAATACGTAGGAGTTGGCTGCCTTATATGAGTATGACTTGCAGTATATGGGTACAGGGCAGGCATTTGCACTCTCGTTTTACAGATAGATAATCAGTACTTTATAACTGTTGTCCTTAGGCAAGTTACAAGTTAGTTTGTATTTCTTACCTGTAAAATGGATAATAATGGCTACACTGGGGTTCCAATGAGGATTGAATGAGTGAGTTAGTATATGCAACACTTTTAGTATTAGCCTGGTATGTGGTGAGCTGCAGGATATGATTGTGGGGCTCCTAGGGATTCCTGATTCCCAAGCTCCCATTGCATGCTCTCTTTCTAAATTGATACCTACACTGAAACTACTCAATAATGTTGTTATGGTTTGGATCTGAAATGTCCCTCAAAGGCTCATCTGTTGAAGGCTTGGTCCTCAGTGCAGCAGTGTTTAAAAGTTGGGCTTTGGGGAAGTGCTTGGATCATGAGAAAACTGATCTTATCAATTGATTGATCCATTGATGGGTTCATAATTAAATGGATTATTGAAAGGTTGTGGAAACTGTAGGAGGTGGGGCCTAGTTGGAGAAAATAAGTCACTGGGGGAGTGTATACTTGTCCCTGGCTTGCTGTCCACCCCTTCACCAATGCCATGGAGTGAGCAGGTCTGTTCCATCACACTCTCTTTGGCTATGATTATTTGGGATGCAAACATGTCCCTTCTTCTTGGCCAGGTAGGAGTTAGAGGAACCTTCCACCCCTTTCAGCAAATACCAGCTGCCTTCTGATCCACCCTGAAAGCAGCCTGGGAAGTGAGGTTATCCAGGGTGAAATGAGGGAGGAATGGCAGGACTGGTCCCAGCTCCAAGCTTACTGTGTTCCAACCAAGGGGTGCTGGGTCAGAGAGGAGTAAATAGAGCAAGAGAAGTTAACTATGAACTGGGACCTGGGCACAGTACCACATGCTTGTAATGCCAACAACTCTGGAGGCTGAGGAAAGAGGATTGCATGTTCAAGGCCAGACTGGGCAATTTCACAAGTGCCTAACTTAAAAACTTAAAATTTAAAAAAGAGGCTGGTGATGTAGCTCAGTGTTAAAGACCCCTGGATGCCACCTCCATCACTCCCCCTGGGTGGGGAGAGAGAAAGAAAGAAAGGGAGAAGAGAGAGAGAAGAGAGAAAAAGAGAAGTTAACTATAGTCTTGGTTTAAATCTGCCTAGTATTTGGTTTAATTTACATTTATTTGAAGACTGTTTGTGGTGAACATCTTTTCATATGCTTATCAACCACTTGGACATTTTCTTTTGTGTGAAGTGCCTGTTCCAGTGGTTTGCTTATTTTTGTATTAGGTCCCTAACTTTTATTTTTATTTGTTTACTGATTGGTTTTCCCTGGTACTGGGGAATAAACCCAGGGGCGCTCTACCACCAAGCTATATACTCAGCCCTTTCTTTTCTTTTCTTTTTTTTTTTTTTGAGACAGCATTTCACTAAGTTGCTGAGGCCAGCTTGGAACTTGCAATCCTCTTGCCTCAGCCTCCTGAGTAAGTCAAGCAAAATACATCTGTGTCCCAAAAGGCAGTGAAGGTGTCTGAAGTCTGGGGTCACTGCACTCTAGGTCTGCAATCCTGCAGAGTCATCTATGAGTTTTATTGGTTCTGGGGGTTGATGGATTAAAACAGGCATCTTAGAAGCCTGATATTTAGCATGTGAAGCACATAAATACTTTACCTTGGCTATACCTGGTCTTGGCCATTAGCAGTCCTTCTGGAATTGAGTTGTAGTAGTTTTGCTTTTGACTTTAATCCCTTGATTTGGGAAAACCGAGACCTTTCCTGTTCTCCCCCTTGATACTCAGGATCCATCACTCCAGTCAGTACACTAATCCTTTTTGTTAATTCACTGACAGAAGAACTCCAAAATAGCCAGGGGTAGTCTTAACTTCCAATTCAATGGAACCACTGCTGTTTCCCCTATGGAAACACTTCTCTCTTGGTAACTAAGGCCTCTAAATAAGCAGAGCTCCCAGTTTTAGAGGTAGAAAGCATAAGTTTTGCTAGATAAACACACTGTGCTGTATTGATAGAATCTGTTCTCATTTCTATCCTCTTCTTCCTGTTCAGTTTGGGATTTCCCTTAGTGCCATATGTTGGTTGCTGGTTTAGAGCACATCCTGCAGCCTGAAGGACATTACCCAAGTTCTGCAAGAAGTTGCCACCCAGCTGGTGCCATAAGCAAGCCATGAGGAACATGGTAAGACCAATGAGTTCCATGAGCCCGAGGCTACTGTTGCCCTTCATCTGCTGTGAAATAAATTCTTTGATCAGAGCATTGCTGAAAATAAAGCATTCTATAAGCTCACAGATGGTAACTTTGGCAGAAGACAAATCTGTGTCATAAGAAATGGATTTTTCAATGAGAACAAAGCAAAACTTCTTTCTATGTAACCAGCCAGCCACCAAGTGGATGGTTGACTTTCACAATGGAAGTTCAGTGTTTATCCCAGTTGATAGGAGATTTGGGTACTCAGCAGTGACTGTAACCAGATTGGCCTTGGTAACTGGGTACCCATGTTGCTAAGCCCATGCCTGACCTCCATCCCTCCCACCATGGCCACATTTTTCATGAGCCCATTAGAATAATGTAGGGTCCCAGCTTGAGTTGACTACAGCCATCAGGAGTTGAAACCACCATGATTTCCCCCTGAGTAATCTTGGCCTGTTTCCAATCACTACCACCCTGCAGAGTTTCCCAGCATACTATCAGTAAACAAAACTATTAAAATGGTATGTGGCATTTTATGACAGCTCCTGGCACTGTTAAATGTTAATGTGAGATAAATCAGGTGATTCCTCTGAATTCACTTTTTAAAAAATATATATTTTTAGTTGTAGATGAACACAATACCTTTATTTTGTTTATTTAGTTTTTTTTTTTTTTTTTTTTTTTTTTAATGTGGTGCTGGGGATCAAATGCAGTGCCTTGTGCGTGCTAGGCAAGCACTCTACCACTGAACTATGTCCCCAGCCCCCTGAATTCAATTTTGTCCTACCATTATAAAACTCTCTCTGTTTGACCCAAATTGTGGGGATCCACTGGTTTTACTGCCATCCTCTGTCAATAAGCTGCACTCTGGGTAATCCTCAATCTGTCTCTTTTTCAGTCTCATGGTACTTTGTGGTCAGGTCTTTTATACCATGTTTATCCAGAACAAGTAACCACATCTAGTTTGTCTTCGGTGATTGGATACCAGTACATGGTCCTGCTGACGTGGGATCTTATCATTCAGGTAGCCCAGCTTTATGGCAGAAGTTTCTACCATCACTTCTGGCCTGCAGGAAATAGCCACTATAGAGTTCTTCAAGGACATCAGGGCTTTACTCATGAATGTGTTTCTCACAGGCATGGTAAAGGGAGTATTCTCTGGATCTTCCTGAGCACATAGTAAGAGACAATGAACAGTTTCTATGATAAATCTGCCCTATCTTTCTTAGCCATTAGGTGTCTTCTTTTTACAATATACCAAAGAAGTTCTGGCATTTCAACTTTCAGATTTATTTTTGATTCTTAATTTTTTTTGTAGTTGTGTATGGACAACATCCCTTTATTTTATTTGTTTATTTTATGTGGTGCTAAGGATTGAACCCAATGCCTCACACACACTAGGCAAGTGCTCTGCCACTGAGCTATAGACCCAGACCATCAACTTCCCAGATTTCAGTCAACCAATTGGATAAGCAGAGTCACTGAATCTAACACATTGAATCAATAATCTCTGCTTAGTGAGCCCTTAGAAAGAAATTCAGCCTCATATGATATATATTGCTTCTAACCTGATCTCATGTCTTTGGGATCTATGTCCATATATTTCCTTAGGTTCCTATAGATATAAATTGGCAACATCATGCTATTGTTTGGGTGTGTATAACACCTTCTTATGGGTCAT